CCTGGCGCTTTGCAAGATCACGTGTTCGATTATGTCTGGAACTGTCCTGTCAAAGGCTACCTGAGCTCTTGACGCATTAATAGCCAAACACGATGCATGAGAACCGTTCCCTGACAGACGAGACGTCTTGGTATTAACGTTGCCCTGATCTATGAATTTAAAACGCACTTCTGCTTCGGTATGTTTTGTCGTCGGATGGTGAGCCGGCCTCTTATGGTGAAATCATCCCACAAGCATGTGCACACCACGGGCTGGCTAATTTTGCCGAAATAGCCGCTTTTGTCAAAACGCTCATAATTCATATACGCTGATTTTGAATATGAAGTTTGGCTGTTCGTACCATTGTTTGCGAAAGACCAAACTGCTCTTAAGTTGTGCTTGCGTTTGCAGCGCTTTGAGAAGAGTATGATATAGTTCAAAATGTGATCTTGATGTATAATTACAATACGGCCATGATACCTACTTTCACCCACTTTGAAGCCCGGTATGTCTGCTGGTTCTCGACCCCGCACCGGCCTGTCTTCATCAGATATCGGCCAATTCATTCGCCCTCCACCCATCATCACGTGATCTTTTCCTGCGTGGCGACTGCTCGCCATCGCGGACGAATTTCTCTCTCCATCCCACGCCGCGCCTTGTAAATTCACACGTCCCGTAATTTCTTTTGTCTCGCCCGTAAACTTCTGTCGGACTTCAGCGCCCTCTTGGGCGGAAAACAACGCGGCGTTGGCCGTCGCCCGAGCCGACGCGACCCATCGCAGAAAAAAAAACACCGGCAGCGTCGGGCTGGTGGACCGGCCCGGGCCGGGCGAGAAAGCGAGCCCTCAGACGGCGAGCGTGTCAGAGAAGGCGCGATATTGCGGCGGAGGGACGGACGGCTGCAGCCGGCTGGAGCGGCAGCATGCCTAACCTACTGGCGGACCCCGAAAAACAGCTGATTGGCCGGCTGATACGTCAGTGACGTGTCCGACCGAATGAACGGAAAACAAATGCCCCGCAGATAAGGTGTTTTCCTGTCTAAGCTGTTCTCGTCTGTTTGTATGATCTGTCGACAGGGTCTGCTCGTCACGGAAGCGAATGGAATTTGCCATTTTTGTTGTTGATGCCAGGTAGAGGTAAAGCAGCAAAGATGTTCCGGCGCCGTAGCATGATGTCAAAAGGATGCATTAGGTTTTTTCGTTTTTTGAACCATTATGGGTGGACATGTTAAGACTTGTGAGAGGAGGGAAAGGGCATGACTGAGATTACCAACATCTTTGCCTGTTTCAGCCCACTCCTGCACAGCTTCCACACCCTAAGTGCAGAAGCCCCGGCCGAAATTAAAGCTCATCGACACGGAATTACATGCCAAAACCACGTCCGTCTTATGGACGCGTCTCCCGTCTTCTTGTGCACCTCTGTCCTGTATTTATGGCTTATTCGGCGGCCGTGACAAGGAAGCGCCGCCGCCTGTCAGGCTCGTTGACTTGCCGACAGACGGCGGTCTGCCGTCGTGTAAACCAGCCGGCTGTCATGAATATTCAACCTGGCAGCGCTGTCGCCTCTTCATCACGACCTGGAGGCTGGCGCGTGACGACTACTTCCGAGTAATTATCCGGCTGCTTGTTTTAATTTCCATTTTTCCTTCGCCGGGAAGAGCCGGACGAGCCGGGCGCGCCGCCGCGTCGCCAGGACGCCGTCTCGAGCGCGCGGACGGCGGAAATGGATGACGTTATAAACCAGAAGGATGGGGACGGGCGGGCGCGAACGAAGCGCCAGCGCCGGATCGCGCTTGATTGCCGCTCGGGCGGTGATCGCTTTCGGCGGCGGCAGGCCGGCGTCGTCTCGTGCTTCGCGCCGCTGCGTGCCGGCGGGCTGCGAAGCAGTCCTGATGAGCAGATTGGGGTGGAGCGGCGCCTCGCTCCGCCGAGCGGGCTCGTCGCGCGATCGGCCAGCTCGCCGCCGCCGCGCTGCTGCCGGCGTGTCGCGCGCGCGCCGAGCTCGGCGTGGGAGAGAGCGCGGCTGCGTACGGCCCGAGGCGACGCCGTCGTTAAATGGCCGCGCGAGCGCGAGCTTCCCACGCGACGGTGTCGGAAGCGTCGCCGCCTCGCGTCTCACCCCCCCCCCCCCCTCCCCGCTTGAAATGCGCCGCTGACGCCGCCCCTGCCGCCGCCGCTAATGTCCTGTTATTTTCGCGTTACTTCTGTCATTTTGGACGCAATCCATGTCGCCGTTCATTGTAGTCGATCGGCGTCGCGGGCGGCGACGCTGCCCGGCCGGAAACGGCGTCCTGCCGCCGTCTGTTTTGATTCGGCCGCGGGCGGCCACTGGCGGGCGAAAGTCTGAGGAAAGGTCGCCGGGAGGCCGACCGGTGGCTCCGACGGCCCAGGCCGAACGCCGCTCCGCCTTTCTTGTTTATCGCGCAGTGATCGAATGATAGCGCCGGGAGGAGTTCTTTTTGGCTTACCTGCTGAAGTTTAACTATCTTTCTTTGGCGCGACACTCCGCTCAGAAAAAGGGGTCTTTGAAGATTGGGGCTTGACGTTTCTTTCTTTCGGCAATCCAGGGATCTCTTAGAGAAGCTAAAGTGTTGCGTTGGCCGTCATGGGCTGGGCAAGCTAGGTGGTCGGTAGACGTCGATGGCGCCACGAGTATTTTCGGTTGGGCCCGGTGGGACCCATCCGCCAGTCAAGAGGTATTCCGGCTGTTTGTTTATTTCCACGTCACTCATCACGGCCGATATTTGCGGGGTGTTTATATCATCAAACACACGTGATTCTCGCGCGACTCTGGCGCCGTTATGAGCTCCTTCGGGATTTAGTGTCCACGTCGGGCACGATTCCAGCAGCGCTGGCGCGGATGTACAACGGGCAGCCGTGGGCGGCGAGGACGCGCGCTCGCGCCGGGCCGACGGCGGCTGGCGGCATGGAGCGACGCGCCGCGGCGGCCGAAGAATGGTGCTGCGCCGCGACCGTCGGCGGTCCGGACCGTTACTCCTCGGCGCCGGGCCGACCCTGCGCTGTCTCATCTGACGGCCGACCGGGCGCGTCCACGCGGCGCCGAGGGGCGGCCGGGCCGGCGCTCCGCGGCGTCGCCTTCGATGCGTTCCTCCCGCCGATGTGTCGGTGCCGGACGGGGTGCGGTACGAGTGGCAATCGGCGGGTTGGGCGCTACACGCTGGTGTGACGACGAACACAGGTCCGTTGGTCTCTCGACAGCTCGCGTCGTTCCTCCCCTCCGATCGCTGCGTGGACTCGCCCACGAGTTATTGGAGGCCGGTCCTGGTAGCAAGGACTGGGCACTAAAAATTAAGTAAGAAATTAATTAGCCGCGAGGCTGCCAGTGGAGATGGATGTGTGCAGGGCACGTCTGCGGGAGGCTGCGCCTCCGGCCGGGTCGGTGTGTCCGATCGGTCAAAGGCACCGCTGCGAAAATGCGCCGGCCAGTTTCCCAGGGCTTGCATGCTTGAGCTGCCACGTCTTTGTTCACTTCGCGGAAAGCGATGTTTATCACTGCGCCGCGCGGCCGAGTCATTGCGGCGGTGTTTCGCAGCGCGCGGCACCGCAAATCATGAGCAAACCGGGCCGTTTTGGGACCGGGTGGCCGGGCACCGGTTCCGGCTGGCCACCTGAGCGGCAGCGGTCTCCCCGCGCTTCCTGGCCGCCGCACCGCCCGGCAGCGGCGCGGCGCGGCGCGTGACGCGCCCGACGCCTGCCGGCCTTGGACACGGCTCGCAGGCCGATACCATCGCAGGAGAAAGGGTGAGAAAATAATGGGCCGATAGCTGAATCTGACGGCCGCGACGGGCCACACACAAATCAGCGGCGGCGGCGGCCAGCCGGTCTAGCTTCGGCCGCCGGGTGGGGCGCCGCGCCTCCGGCAACCCCCGGGTGGGGCGCCGCGCCCCCCACCGGGCGTCGGAGGCGGCGCGGCGGCCGGCCGACCCACTGGCGGCGGCGCTAGCCGAGGACCCGTTAGGTCGACGGCGCCGCGCCGCGCCGCTGGAGAGTGACCTCTGCGGTCAGGAGCCCGACCGGCGCTGCAGCTTTATTTCCCGTCGGCAGTGTTGCGTTGCACGGTTTATGATCGCGGCCGGTCGGCAGATCGCGGCTGGGGCCCGGTATCTCTATTGTGCGGCGCCGAGGTGGTCACCGCGGCAGAATGACGCGGCGCGCGACGGGGGGCGCCGCTGGGGCGTCTGCAGCGCGAGCCGGCGTGAACGCCTGTGTCGCACGACGCACGTGCGTGGGGGCGCTAACGGCGTCAGGAGCATTAACCGCCTCAGCCGGTGCTGGCGCGGCCGTTCCGGCGGTCACTTGGCTCTTCTCATACATTTCCACGTGGGCTCACCGGGAGCGAACCGGTCCGCAACTCGAGCTTTTGTAGGCGGGCACGCTCCAACCGCCGGAGAAACATGGCGTCTTCCTTGGCAGAGGACCCTCTCCAGCGGCGCCTTCGCCTAACTGAATGCCCTCGTGGTCCAGTCGGATCTCTGGCGGAGTCCGACAGCGGCGGGACGCGTCCTCGTCTCCCGACCCCGCGACATCGGGCGGCCAGTGGGCGGACACAGGCCGTCCGCGCGACCCGCCGGCTCCGTCGTTGCGAAAGCCTCGGCTGCACGCCGCCGTTCCAGCCGCTGCAGGAGGCGCGGCCGCCGACCACAGCGGGGTGATACGTGCCGCGACTGCCGGCCGCGCTGTGTGAACAGACCGCACCGGGGCGTGCTCGAGGAGCGTCCAGCGGCCCGACCGGCGTGCTCAAGCCGACTGCAGGCCCGCACGGGTGCCCCCTCCCCCCCCCCCCCCGATCCTCCCGCGCCCCTGCATTCCGTCCGGCGCGCACCCGGTGTCGCCCTGGCGGACGGCGGCGCCGTGACGCGGCATTGACTTGGCTGGACGATTTATATGCGCGCCATTTGGTGCTCTTCCCGTGCGATGTCGCCGTGCTTGAAGTCTGAGGTCGAGCTTTGTGAGGCGCTCCGACCCAAGCCGTCTGTGACACTGCGCTCCTGTCTGTTGCAGTGGGCCTGCTGGACACGACGCAGGAGAACATGCTGGACTGGACGAGATACCCGTTCGGACCGCAGTCCAAAACGCCTGGGGTGAGTACCTGCCATCGCTGGGCAGCCGGGTGTCGTCGCTGGAGCTTCCGGCGCCCGGACAGCCTCGGCCTGCCGTCCGCCTCGGAAGCGCCCGACGTATTCAATCTGTTTCGATTGTGAGGTCGCCTGGGATTCGAGGAGTTCGCAGCGTGCCACTTGAGTCTCCTGGGTGCCCTGCCTTTCTCTGTATATCGTTCCCTATCAGCCGGCCAGACTCACTTTCCCCCGCCGTAAAGTGCTTTCATTTATCTCCATTCCACATTCCCTTGTAGTATTTGTTTTCTGTCTTTCCTACTTGGTCCATTTCCTCCATATAAGCGTCTCTATCTCGTCTATATCAGACACCCTCTCTCTCTCTCTTTCTTGCTCGCTCAACCACACTCTCTCGTTCCCGCTATCTGGCCGGGCCTCTCCTCGTGGCTGTCTCATAAACTTTATATACCACCGTATAACTCATTCTTAGCAGCGTTATTACCTCTGACTCTGTATACCTTAATTGGAATGTACGCCGCCCTGGCCCCGGTCGCCCGGAGCATCTTCTTCTTCCTCATGCGAGCCCCATGTATTTCTTTAGCACCGCTAAGTGAGGGAATAGATGAGAGCGCGAGAGCGAGAGCGATGCGCGGAGAGAGCGCGAGGGATGCGAGCTCGACCATAAGGGAAGAGAAATGGGCGGCGGACGGGGACGCGGGCGAGGCCGGCGGGCGGCCGCGCTCGCGGCTCTGGGGACCGCCGGCGCCGCACGGAGATTTATTCTCGCCTCTAGTCAATTAGTCCGTGTGCATTAATCATTGTGTTGAGCGGGTAATTGTCAATTGAAGAGCAGCGGTGCAGGCGTCGTCCGGGCCCGGCGTTCTCCGGGCGGCGGCGGTATCCGGCGTGACGTGCCGGAACGCGTCGCTTATTGCCGCAGTAAATCGCTCCGCATGTATATCATCATTTGGCGTTAACGCGGGAGTATAAACTAATACGGCGCGCCGGGCACCGGCAAAATAACAGGCGGCGCCGGCCGCGGGGCAGGGCAGGGTGCCCGACCGCCGGGGCCGGCCAGCCCAGGCTTGACGGATTGCAGCGGTGCGGTGTTGCAGATGCAAGCGGCGCCCGCCGGCGATCGGGTAAATACGGCCCCCGTGCGCCGCTGCTGAGACGGGCACGACGCGCCGCGCCGCGCCAGCCGCACAATGACGAGCGCATGGGTCCGGCGCTGGGACCAGCGATCGCGGCGTGGGATGGTTTGTCCAAGCCGCGTCGCACTTTCCTGAGGACCGGGAGTCGCCGGTGCGCCGCGGCAGGGTCGGGCTTCCGCGAGAGAGGGCGGCTGGTGAGCCGACTTTCCCGCACTCTGCGCGACGACCAGTCGTATTTCCCCCCAGGACAGTAATCAGAGCTAACCGGGTGGCTCCGTACCAGGCGCCGGCGCGCCTTGTGCGCCGTTTCCGCGCGCCACAATGACGCCATACCGCGCCGCCATTGCCGCGGGCGCCGCAGTGACGCGGGCGGGCCGCGCCGCTGAAGTTTGTGGGTCATGGAGGCCCTGCGCCACTTTCCCTTGCCCGTGTCTCTCTGCGGATCTGCCTCCTCGCTGTCGACGTACCGTTCGAATATCCTTAGTGTTGGTGGCTTGGCGCTCACTCGTTTATCCCTGCTCTTCCACTCTTGCTATCTCCGTCACCCACTCTCGTTCTTTTGGATTTCCCTGGTCTCGCTTTACGCGTATCTCCCTTATCTCGACGGCACTTTTGCCAACCCAATGCATTATATGTATTTATGTCACTTGTCAGGCAGGCCACCACGACCAGTTGGCTATCTCAATTGACTTAAGCTCTCTCGGTACTCCGTCACTATCTCTCGAGCCCGCGACGGCACTGATGTGGACGTTCGCAAGGGTTCGACGACGTCCGATGTCCGACCTCCTATTTGTCCCACCCACGAATATGTAGCATCAAATTATTGGGGTTTATTACTTTCGAGTGCAAAAGCTGACAACGGTTCAGGTGATTTGCGAATGCTGTTAAACGACTTTCTAAACAGAACGTCTTAAGTTATTGTAGATGGTACGCTGCTGCAGTGTAGCATTACCTTGCTGACAATAAATAAGTTTGCAGGAGTAGGTTCTGATCTGTGTGCATGTTTTTGTTTTATTGGAAAACCCTCAGCATCCTCAATTTTCAACTGTGAACCGTTCTCCAGCCCCGTACCTCCCATAGATCGACTGAGCCGCTCCGTCGTCGCCACCCGCCGACCCACACCCGCCTGCCGGACGAGACGAGCGGCGCCGGCCGGCCGGCCGAGCAGCCGTGGCGGCCTGCGGCGGCCGTGCATCACCTGCCCGGAGCTGGCCGGGCGGCCCGCGCCGGCCTGCCGCCCACCTAATGCCGGCCGCCCTCCCGCCGCGCTCGCGCCGCCACGCCCAGCGCATCGCATTTCTGCCCGCCTGTCGGCCGCCTCTGACGCGGAACACACGCGCACGTGCGCTGCCGCCGCGTGCTGCACGCGCGTGCCGCCGTGGGCACGTCGCGGCGACGGCCAGGCGGGCTCCGGCGGTGGCGTTTGGCGCCGTGGACGGACCCGCCCTGATTCAACCCCGCCGAGCGAGCGGCAGTCAGGGGCCGAGGGACTTCACTGCAATTATCGTTATTGGCGGGCGATCCGCCTGATTGGTAACGTCATATCGTCGTTATTGATAACTGCGCCGGGGGGCAGCACCATTGTTGTATGCCCAAAATGGCGCCAGATGCACCGAGAAGAGGCAGGCTGACCCTCGGTGAGAACCGTCCCGGCGTGATGACGTCATCCGTGGGTTTCTTGAGACAATTTCTGCCCTGGACATGACAGTCGGGCCCGCCTGGGATGACTTGACATTCCACGGGATATGGATTCCGCCACGCAACCAATTAGTACGTCGTGTTTTGTGAGGTCATTCTTTGTGTGTCCGCGTGACTGCTCTCTGAGAATGGATGTCGTGCTTCAGTAGGCCTTTGATCAGAGGAACTGTGCTAATCAGTTGACTTGGTAGGGCTGATACGGGCGGGTACATTTCCGTCGAAATAGGGGAAGACAGTCGTGGCCTGCCGATATCTTGCAGTGAAAGGGAAGGAAAGTCTCATGGGCACGCAGCTAGATGTACGCCAGTTTTTGCGACGAAACGAGCGGAGACTGGATGACAATGCACTTCACCGAGATCACGGTCAGAACTGCATCGGCAAAAATGAATGGGGATCGCACGTAAAAACGTGGATGCCGGGTCGGACTCAAACGTCGACGAAAAACGCCTGGCCCAGATGGCGGCGGGCCGGGTCAAGCGTGCAGGGCGGGGCAGAGCGTGGGAGGCGTCGGCGCCGGGCGGGCAGAGCGTGGGAGGCGGCCGTGCCGTGCTCGGCTGGCAGGAGCCGGATTTCTGCTTGAGCCACCCTCTCGCCGCGCGGTTGGCCACCGGCCGGCCAGGGAGCACATAAATATGCAACCGAGCCGACGGCTCCACCGCCGCCTGCCGTTTGCACTAATTAGTGAGAACAGTGCGCGGGTGCGCCCACTGATGCAGCCGAGCGGCGCTCGTTATTCCTGAGAAATTAGCTGGAAACTTGCGGCGGCCGGCCACCACCCATCGCTTCGCACGTTATCCCTGTCCTTCACAGATGGCTCCCGTGTCGACCGCCGGCACATGTGCTAATAAGCGCGGCTAATTTTACTGTCGGTGCTCGTCTGTTGCCTGTGCTAACCGCCGTGCGCCAGCTGCTGTCGCTTGGGGTGTGAAGGGGGGGGGATGGGGGGGCTGTCCGTGTCTCGGGCGATGAAGCATCCTTGTGGCGTTTCTGGTGCCATGCAGGTCGTGTCGCCATTGCCTGTGTCTCTGTGGGATGAGCGGAGAGTCCGCAGCGCATCTGGCCGGGCGTCATGAACATGCTCCCCGAGCGTTATTTTATAGGCTTACTTCCTGCACGCACTGGGGACGTGACCCAAGCGTTCCCCCGTATATGCCCGTGCTCGCTGTGCGCGCCAAGGTCAGGGGCCCGAGGTCTCCTCGCGTGTGCTCCGCGCTCCGTGTGCTCCGCGGCTCCCCCGGGGCGGAGCCGGTGCGTGCTCGGCGGCGTGGGAGTCTGCGGCGGAGGCGGCGACGTCCCACGGCCCGGTCTGCGCCCGGCCGGCGAAATCTCGACCGCCGCTCTCTCACGCTGGGCCGCCGGCGCCGCTGACCGGCAGCAAGGTCACTGGCCGTCGGCGAGGTCAGCGCCGCCGACAGCCGCGCTTCTTCGCCCTGCGCTGGGGAGTGGGAGTCGCTGATGGATAACCTCCGCCCGCGCCGCGGTCACTCTGACTTCGCCGAAGTGCCCGGCTGGGCCGGCGTGCTCCGGCGCGAGCGGGGGAGTGAGCGCCGCGGTACCGGGAGTTAGACGCCGAGTGAGCGGTACGGCTGCAGAGCTGCCCCACCCCCCCTGGAGCGGGCCAGACCCCCATTACGGTCCATCCGTCAGCACAAATGAAACGGGCCGCGCCGAGCCGACGGCCGCGGTGCTCGTTCGCGCCATTTGGTCGGCTCAGAATGCGATCTGGAGAGCGATCGGCGCGCTGGCCAGTGGGCAGCCCGCAAAATCGAGAGACAAGAGGCAGAGGCAAGAGACGAGACCAGAGCCGGGAGCCGGCAGCCAGGAGCCGGCAGCAGAAATCTGAGCTTGCTTTGTGAACATGACCAGTCTCTGTGCGTCGAGCATTGTCGCACCACGTCCTTCCATCATATCAGTTCTACGCTCGCACCACACATCACTTTCATCGGCGGCCGTTTACGGCCGTCGGCAGAGTGGCGCAGCACTCGCTGACGGATGCCAGAGTGGCGCAGCACTCGCTGACGGATGCCAGTGTCAATTGTCACGTGCTGCTGGGCTAAATTGCTTCCGTGACCGAGAGCTGATCATCGATATCTGACGTCGCCCCGAAGATATCGGATCTTCACGCAGCCACTGAGAAGAGCGCCGGCGACTGCTAGCGGCCCTGTCGGCGGCCGC